TGTGTAACATTTACTCTGATACAGAGTAAAGCCTTACACTATGGATTTATTTTCCAGGTGTTGTCAGACCAAGGTCTCCAGCTGTGCCACATCCTCCACTCTCTCTCCACACAGGTAAGGCACCCGCGTGCCCACCAGGCCCTTATGTACCACAGTTTCATTAGATACCTGTAAATAAAGGACTGTAATGACTGCCATCCATCTCATTGGGACCACAGAGACGTGGCTATCAGTGTTAGTTAACCCTGCTCTGGCAGGGGCCAACAGGGGCCACTCATCCATAATCACAGAGCCTGACACTTGTGGTGCACTGCACGGTTTGATTAATAATCTCAAACATGCCTGACCCACAATGCATTTCCCCAGCTGCAAGCAGAGTATGGCTAATACAAATTGCTTACGTCCATTTATTTATCCATCAGTTCAAATTCAGCAATTACCTCACTTTGGCAAACCTGTAATGTAGTTTTGCGTGAAAGTCTCAATTAGGGCTATTAGATTGTTAAATTTGTCCTTGCCACAGGAAGTCCTGAAAGGATCGTAGAAAGGAAAGCAATGCTATATGCATACAAACAAAACGCCACTATATATGTATATACACTGAACAAAATTATAAACGCAACACTTTTGTTTCATGATCCTTCAGAAATCATTCAAATATGCCGATTTAGTGCTCAAGAAACTTGTCTTATTATTATCAATGTTGAAAACAGCTTTTTCTCCTTATATTAAGAATGATTTAATATATAGATGTATAATGAAAAAGTAACTTCTAAAGCAAAATAAAGCCACTTCCACAAGTGTAGTCTATCAGCTTGTTTTTACTGAATTTACAAAATTGTCCCGTTGAGCCTGTCATGTTCATACTTTGCATATTTAAAGAACATCATAAAAAATTATGTCTAATGTAGAAACTGAGTCTTTAAGCAAAAGAGCTGCTGTGTTAATGATTGTTTAGATTCCTCATCTCTCAAATGTTCTACTTTAAATGTTAAGGCCACATATTGTGTCTGTGCTATAGCTGCTGGATGAAGACAGAATCCTTAATCTATCTGAGACAGAGAAGCTGTCAGCCGCATGTCAACAGCTGAAGGTCTGTGCCAAGACTCCGGTTCAGGGCAAGAGCGCCATCTTTCAGAAGGTAATCGAGTATAACTGATACAGACTGTTCTTGTACATAAGTGAATGAAGCAGACATGAGTAGGGTTTTTGTTTGTTTGACTTGACAGTTTAATCCATTAATGCACTTAAATTCATAATTTAGAATCTGAGGATTCAAATTATATCGATTCATCTTAATTTAGACATTTAAAGAGAACAATATAAACTAAAGTTTAAAGTCACAGGTCACTGCCACATGTGATTAGATAATAAATCTGTTTCTCCTGCAAAGACACTGACCTTACTCTATTTCCTGACTCCATTTAACCTGATAAAATGGCATGCTGTCCAGGGTCATCCTTCTGTTTTGATAAAGCAAAGGTCACAGCCGGAGGCAGGTTTAAATAGGTTTATAGAGGCTGTGTTCGTGTCGTGCTGTGGAACCAAAAAAACGATCTCCAGAAAAACAAGCACAATCAGGATCTCCCAGCATGTCTTCAGGAGCCCTCGCGTGGTTTCCAAGCATATTATTTAGCAAAAACCAATTATATGTGAACCAGTCTGTTCCACAAATCACCTTCAGAAATGTATAGATTGTTGTCGCTGCAAAATGATAGCTTGACTGAAATGTGGGCGTACATGGTGTACTTGTTAGCAAAACTGTATTTTGGGAAGTTTAGTCAGCTAATGATCCATCTGTTTTTCTTGTCTCGTTCAGGTCGACTCATCCATACAGAATACCAAAGGCATCTTGACAGTGGTGGTCTATTTACTGCCCATCTGTAATAAGCTCATCAGAAAGGTAGGTAGCAACATGAACACCTGGATTAACTTTTTACTCTTATCCGTATTGGTTGATAATGTATATTTAATTGTGTTTGGTCATCATCTCTGTATTTATATTTAGATTACATTCATGCCATCATCTAACACTCACTTAATCTTAAAAAAAAAAAATAATAATTTGATGACATTTTTTAAAAAGATTTTTATTTTTGCCATTTTTGCCTTTATTATGATAGGACAGATCAGAGCTGACAGGAAGTGAAGTGGGAGGGGGGGGATCGGGAAAGGTCCTCGAGTCGGGATCCGAACTCGGGAGGACGCCCTTAGTGCAAATTTGATGACATTTTCAAATGTAAATTAGCAAATCTCAAAATGAATATTAATTTTTCATACTGTACATTATAATGGCATGGAGACAATAATTATCAGCTTATCAGTATCAGCCTGAATTTAAATTTTGGTTAATAAACAAGTTAGGACAAAACTCAGATTTACATGTAAAGGAACGCATTGTGATAAGGACCAGGGTTACTATAGTAACTTAGTTAAACAAAAGCTAAAGTTAACTAAAACCATAAAAAAATAGTTTCTTGAAATAAAATTGAAAAAACATAAACTCGTTTTATTTCAGCTAGTTTTTGTTTAATTTTTCTTGATATATTAAAATAACTACTGTAAATTTAAAACTGAAATAAAATTACCAAAAAGTATATAGTAGTGCTGTCAAACACTGTCAAAACAAAATAAAAGGTTTGTTTGCATAATATGTGTGTATACTGTGTATATTTCTTATGTATATATAAATACAAACACATGCGTGTATATATTTAAGAAAAATGTTGTTTATATATTAAATATATTTATAATATAAAATATAAGAATATAAATGTATATACATGTAAATATTTTCAAAATATATACTGTATGTGTGTGTATTTATATATACACAATAAATATGCACAGTACACATACATTTTTTTTACATATTATGTAAACAAAAACTTTTTTCTTTGGGATGCGATTAATCGTGATTAATAGTTTGACAGCACTAGTATATAGACATTTAAAAAAATAAGTAAAAATACAAAAACACACAACAAAATTCCCCAAAAAATTAACCAAAATTAAAATGACAACAGAAAATATTAAAATGAAAATATTAACAAAAAATGAAGTAAAATAAAGTGCAATAAAAAGAATAGTATCTCCATGCTGGTTAGGAAACAGTGTTGTGCTATTATGTCATGGATGCGCCGATATTAAAATTCTAGCTGTGTTATTAAAGATGAGCTTTAAAGAGTGTTAGATTACAGCAACGATAATTAAAAACTGAGGAAATGTGCAAGCATAAACATATTGAATATATTGAATGTGAATAATCAATTTAAAAAGCTCTAAATAAATTTGATATATTGTGCACCCTCACTTATTATTTAATGTTCTGGTGTGATTTATGTTCTGTTCTATCAATTAAAAAAATGTAGAAGATAGTTTAATACAAACATGCTCTAAGATTTGATTATACACCTTTAATTCCAGTGTAAATCAGAACGCAGCTGTCAGGCTTCACCTCAGCACTGGCGGGAGAAGCAGCTGAGCACGACCGTCAGTGAGGAAACTCTGAATGGCAAAGGCTCCAGTGGCTTTGGGGTCAAATCCCTGGAGCAGCACATGGCCAATCTAACATTCCTGGAGAGCAAATAGTTCTGAAAACCAATGGCGCTTCTGCCTGTTCTCGCGCACACAGTGCATGGCAGTGCACTCGCCCACAACGTGCCATTCTTTGTGCTTCTGCCCATTCGCTTTGTGGTGTATGATAGCGTTAGCATTACCAGCCTCATTCCAGATCCCGAAAAATATTGAAGAAAAAAACCCTTAATTGCATGTGTTCAAGTCATTATGCGACCCTTTCAAGTGTAATGGCTGGTAAATAAGCTACAGTTTTAACCGAATATTCAGCTGCGTACATGATAAAAGTTTTGATGCAAAAAAAAAACAAAAACCCTGCACACTGTATTTAACATAACTGCCTCATGTACAAGTTGATGCCAAATATATCCAGTTTTAATCGTCTTCCTACACTGGTTTCGCCACAGGGCAGTCTGCTCAGTGCTTTGTAAGACACCGTTTCAGTGACTTTGGATATTAGTATGAAAAAGTTTAAAGAGTGTTTACAGCAGGGAACGTTACTTTCCAAAGTGGCATTTCTGAAGGATGATCATGAAAAAGACAGTTCCTTTTAAAGGGATAGTTCACCTAAAAATGAAAATCGTTAACATTTTCTTACCCTCATGTCATGCCAAACCAGTATGACTTATGTGAAACACAAAAATAAGTGATTTTGAAGTCTCAAAAGACTTGAAACATATTTCAAAACATCATCTTTTATGTTCCACAGAAGATCATACAGGTTTGGAACAACATGAGGGCAAGTACATAAAGACAGAATTTTCATTTTCAGGCGAACTGGCCCTTTAAATGTACTTGCGTAGGAGTGACAGCCTTGTAATAGTATTGACTGCCTTGTAGGTCACTGTGATTTGTATTTTTACTTCAGTCCTAACAATGTAAGTCAAGCTTTGGTACATTAACCTAAAAGGTTAGAGACGGTATATAAATCAATAGCTTAGGCTGTTGTGTACTGAAATTTTTAGTATGGCACAGATTAAAAGGATCTTCAGAATTGGGTTTCCATTCACACACCAATTCTAGTTGTTACTCTGCTAAAATGTTCCTCTGATTTATACTTCAGTCAGTCAAACCATAAGCTTTAGAGATGATTGTGCAGCTATGACCTTGAGTTGTATTAGTGTTGGACCATTGAATGATTGTGAAATCAGAAAATAAAATCTAAATAGATGTTATTTTTTCTTAAATATTTATGTTTGAGTGATTTATTTATGCACAAAACATTTCTTATTCAATTTTATACATTCCTCCAAACTAAGGCCATCCAAGCAGACTATTGAAACATACTCATGATGAAATACATATTATCTTCAATCAATACATTTATTAAAAGCACGTACTAACATCAAAACTACTGAAATTCTCTGTTGGTTATATGTTCAACTATATTGAAAATACAAGTTTACATACACCACTGTGCATGTAAGTTTCAGGTCCATGAGGTTTTTTGTTATGTAATGTTTTGTAAATGTATGTACATTTTTATCTGAACAATCTGTCTGGGAAAATGACAAAGTGTTGAGATTGCTGTTAATTGTTTTGAGAGCACTGACCTTAGTTTGTGTAAAAGAAATTGGCTGAATAAAAACAAACATATAAGAGCCAGTTGAATACACTCAGAAGGGAGCAGTTCCTTTATTTAGCATTAACTTAAACAATAATGATCTCCAAAAAGTTAGGGCCATAAGCAGTTTTATAGTAACCAGAAGGGAAATAATGTGTCTGTGAGGACACAGACCTGTTACTTCTCAAATTAAACCAGTTCTTAATGAAACAATAAACTAAACACTAAACAATACCCATGACACTGGCATTGTTATGTATCTCATGAATAGTGGTCCAACAAAATGCACTCCAGTGAAATCCAAGACTGCTCTGGATCCAGCAGACAAGTCTTCATTCCTTCAGATTTTCTCAAGGTGTTTTTTGAAATGTAAGTGGCACACATTCATGATGCCATTGACGTTTCCACCTGCTTGAAGTAATTATTCTTCAAAGCAGTTTCAAAGTGCAAGTTGATCTCAGCAAGGCTCTTCTTGTTGGTTTCTTTTTGTCAGAACCTCCTCATATCGTTCTCTGGTCAGAAGGCCTTCAGTGACACTCTTACTCTCTTCAAATTTAGGTAATATAACTGCAATGTATCCCTCGGTGGAAGGCTGTGCCAAAAAAGAACACAATTCACACATGTGGTCTTAAATTTGTAAAAGGTTAAAGATTTTCCATTTTATTTTTTTAAAGCAATATTGGTGGTAACCTTTTCCAATAACAGATCTGGCTTGTTCAAAATGGCTTCATTCACTTCTAGGAGACGTCCTCTGATACAGCTGGGAAAATATGAGTTGAACTGACATCATTTTAAGATGATAGAAATTCAATGTGAAGTTTATCAAGTGACAATCTGTCTAACTGACCTGAATATGGTGTATTCCTGTTCATCTGTACACGTTATTCTACACAGTGGTGCAAACTCTGTCAGGAACTGACCACCCTGCAGAATAAATTATATTTACTGATAATGTTCAGAGAAAGTGTAAATTAAGATATAAAAGTAATTATCACAATCATTACAGTATTAAACTCATTAAGGACAAAGGTACTCACTCGCTTTGACTTTCCAGACACCTTGTTCTTCAGACGGCTGCATCCATCGCTGATCTGATAGTTTATGTTTTTGATTTTTCGTCCATTCTGAAGGATAGGATGAGACTCTGCAAGTGTGATGACGCATATCCTGATGAGAAGAAAACAGAGTTAGGTTTTCACAGCAAAGGAACGTTTAGAGGGGTGTTTCTCCAACTATGAACACTTATGACCCTGTGGACTTTCAGAAAATAAAGAAGAGTGGACATATGGACATTCCCTGCATGATGAACCTTTCCAACATGTTGTGATTTCAATCTACAGGTGCATCTCAATAAATTAGAATGTCGTGGAAAAGTTAATTTATTTCAGTAATTCAACTCAAATTGTATATGTATTCAGTTGATTGTGTAGCAGCAAAGAATGTTTATAAACAATGTCATACAATAAATATAAACAGTTGGTTCAGATCATCGTGGTTTAAAATATGTAATAATATATTTATAGTATTAAAGTTTGGATCTGAGATTTATGTACAGATTAAATTCTATGCATAAAAAAACATCTGAATCTGAGGTGTATACAATATTAAAAGTGTTCAAGAGAGTTATCATATTCATCAACAAAAAGAAAAAGAAACAAACGTTGCTATCCGCTAGTTTAAATAAAAATAAACTTTGTAAAAGTGTACAGTACGTACCTGAAGAAACAGTAAGAAAATTGCACAGTGAAGAGAATATAATACATTTACCTGTTGGAGTGCTGTAGAATGCAGTGATCCTCGCATGCTTTTCCTTTCAGATCTACATAAGCATTTACACCAACACAGCAATTAATCATCACATCTTTAAAAAGTATATATAAAAAAACGCTCATTTTAACATACATTGAGCTACAGTAAAAACAACTGACAAGTGCAGACACAACAGAAATCAAAACATATTACCAGTTTTATACCAGCGGGTGAAATAACGATCGATTACTGATGGGGCTTTCTTTTCACTATCTTCCATGTCAGCATCCACCACAGCAATCCAATTAAAAAAGAAAAAATATTACAGAGGATGATACAGTCTGATCATATCTAAACAGTGATGTTTGAAGCCGGAAGACAAATCAAGTCACACAAAAAATGTCCGCTCTGAATTTACATCCGGTTATACTAATTTGTGGTATCTGCTGGTGTTTTGCATAACTATGTCTTGCAAAATTTCTTTACCTGATAATAAATGCAAACGAATTGTTATGCAATCCAATTCAGCTATATTTTTAGAGAAACGTATTTTAAATAACTCTGTCAGGAACTACTATAATGGCATATTCTGCCGGTTCGTTTTAATTGTAACACACAGCAGCGGTGAAGAAGATGGCAGCGCCTGTAATGGACACATGTCATGTCTCTTGTTGTGCTAATCGCACTCCTAATGTTGTGTCATGGGGCAGAGGGGGTCTCATTGCCTTTGGGACATGTAATTCAGTTGCCCTTTATAACCCACAGGTACTGATTGTATGATTGTTCGCTTGATTTAGTTGAGGTGATGCTGATGCTCTGTTGCTTAATTACACGTACATTATACAGTTACATATGTTCCGATTCTTTAATGCAGTGATGTGCAAACTGTAAACTCAAACCTATGTTTAGAGTATGCATTCTGATGAAGTAATTTCATAGTAAATGTCTTTAGTGTTTGATAAACGGTCAAATAAGATGACTTGTGAAATTGTGACAGGTTTGTCTGATCTAAATTTTGTTTATTAATTGTTATCAGGAAATAAGGATTGTTGAGGTGCTGAATAAACATACTGGAAGAGTGAATGCTGTCCAGTGGGTTCATAAACAAGACTGCAGTAAGCCTTTTACCGTCATTAATAAATGTCAAATAGGCTGTTGACAGATATTTCAGAAAAAGTGTGAAATCTTTTACTTCATGCATAGACATTATTCAGTTGTCTGTCACTGTCAGACACAATAAAAACAAAGGAACTTGTAGAAACGTAAGCTGTCTGTTTGTGCAGGTCCGGAAACCCAGCTGGTATCTGGTGGATCGGATAATAATGTTGTTGTCTGGGAGAAGCAGGATGGGAAGGTATGTGTGTACAATAACAATAAATATGGACACTTATGCTGACAACATAATTGGGTCTTTCTGTTATGCAATACATTGGATAAAATATTAAATAAATCAACAGCTATTAAAGATGGATTTGTTTTTATCATAAATATCAAGGTGATTTTTTTTTTTTAGTCAGGACTTTATATCACTTTCCACCCGAGTTTCAATATACAGGTGCATCTCAATAAATTAGAATGTCATGGAAAAGTTCATTTATTTCAGTAATTCAACTCAAATTGTGAACGACATTCTAATTTATTGAGATGCACCTGTACCTTCCCATCTTTTGGAATATCTTTTGAATAACAGCCAGTTGCGACAAATGCCTTATGTTAAGAAAACCTTTAGTGATAACACTCTTACAGTTATAACAAAATGCAACTAATTGTTTTCTTAACTTAATAGTCTTGTTGCAATTTGCCCAGATCCTCAATTGCATAATCCTCCAGGAAATGTCATTATTTCTGGTGGGAAAACAACAGCACAAACAGTTTTAGGACTGGATTTGAAAAATCATCAGATTTTTTTGTCACACTCTAAACCATCCTGTTTACTAAAATTATAGAAATCAGCATGATAAAAGCCCAAAAGGAACTGCAGAACAGGAATGACCCAGCTTTGTCGGTTATGGAGTTCAAATTTGTGATCTTCTGTTATAATTGTCTGTAAATGGATAATCACAAAAGTTAATAATGAGTTGTGTTTGTCCATCTTCTGCTGCAGTTCACAGCATGTGCAGTGTGTTCGGGACACTCAGGGCCCGTGTGTGCAGTGGATGCCATGTCTCTGTCCTCCTCTCAATTACTGGTGGCCTCAGCATCTTCTGACTCCACTGTTAAACTCTGGACGTGCAGCTCTGATACAGGTAAGATAGGGAGTGTGTTCATAATAAAAGTGCAGATTTAAAATACTCAGTCATGCAAGTTTTTAAAGATTTTTGTTTAAATAAGGACTTTTCAAGTTCTACAAGCCTGACATCTGCTGGTTGGTTCTTGTAAATGAATAGTAGTGCTTAAAATTGGAGTTCAGTGCATATACAGTAGTTCAAAATCAGTTTATTTGTCATCACAGAGATACAGTAGAATTTGCCTTGGATGTAAGCAACCAAGAACAACAGAATGTAAATAGTACAACAAATAGAAATATTCTAAATATGTGTATATTATATGCACTACTGTACTCAAATGTTTGGAAGTAAGTTTTTTTTTAATTCAGCAAGGATACATTAAATTCACAGTAAAGACATTTTATAATGTTACTAAAGTTCTGTTCTTTTAACTTTTTATTCATTAAAGAATCCTGAAAAAATGTATCACAGTTTCCACAAAAATATTTAGCTGCATAGCTGTATTCAATAATAAGAAATGTTTCTTAAGCACCAGAATGATTTCTGAAGGATCATGAGACGCTGAAGACCGGATATATTTGTATATATTTAAAGACAAGATGTCCCATTTTGGTGTCCGCATCAAATTCAATTTACAAAAGTGATTTTATATATATCAAAAGCATATTAAATGAAAGTAAAGTGTCTGAAATTATTTAAATAACTTTTGTAAAAAATAAAATATCAAAATAGGGGTGAAATAATGTTCCATCGTCATTCAGTGTAACATATATTTTTCTAAAAATAAAACGACATATTCTGACCTTTATGTAATAAAATGTATTAAAGAATACTTCATCATACTAAATTTTATTATTTAAATGATTAAAATCTTGCTGACAGATGAGTAAAACCTAATTGTTTGAAGGATTATGGCAATGATTTGAAATGATAATTAATTAGCTTTTGAGGGCTGCACTGATCCATAATCAGTGTTTTTTAATGTCATCTAATGATTCTTGTTCTAAATACACCTGACAAGATTTTTTTGGTATATGAATTTGTTACACTAAATGACTTTTTTCTGTATATGATAGTTTTGTAATTTTTTACTCAGAAAAAGTCAAATTAAACAGGACAAAATCTAAAGTGGAATTAAACTTTGTTTTGATGCTTGAAAAATCTTTGTCGTCTTTGACCCCTATATCTTATATATGTACTGTTTACTTGCCATGCGTTTATTGGCTTTTTTTTATACAAGTCACCTTCACTTGTACTAAGAAGAGGCTCATCATGGTCAAAATTTGTTGTTAAACTCTAATTCCATGTATCTCCCTAAAGACCAATTAGAAACTATACTGTAAGTAAAAGCACAGACATCATTTGATTGTTCCTACTGCTTTCTTTCTGATGTCCATACTTACTGCTCAGAAAGAGAGTAATATTTCATTAAAAAGTGGTGTGTGAAAGCAATATACAGTATGGTAAATGCAATATTTCTGTATTGTTTTGACAAACTCTTGAGTCACACAATGTTGAGTTGCATCATTCTTCTAACATTAAAGTGACAGTAATCTAATGAGCTGTCTGCCAGCACGCAGAAACCAGCTTCTTTTGAGTGCATTTATTTTTTAAATTAGCACAGGAGATGATTTCTGGTTTTCAGGGTAATTGTTCTAATATCGATATATATTTTAGATTAATAATAGTCTAATTTAAAAGAATAAGTTGTTATTTTTTTAATAAGAATTCATCATGAGTTGGACAGGTTCATTTTCATGTGAGGTGTTTCTGTTCTCTTCATTAGTTGAATGCCTCCAGACCGTATCTTTTGGGAGCGGGTTCATGATGGATGTCTCCTTGGCGCTGTTGCCAGGCAGCAGAGGTAAGCTGCGCCCGCTGCTCCATGTTGATTTGCTGTATTGTCCCGCCCTATCATGTTAAAATCTCATTCTGTGCTTTAAATATGTCCTGGGGTGACGTTAGTCTGCCTCTTACATTATTCACGTCTGGACTGCAGCTGTATTTTGCTTCTAGATGCCGTGAATAGACTTAGTGACTTGTCTGCCTGGTGTGTTGGTGTGAATGAGGAGGATAATTACATCTCTTGCAGTTCCAGTACTTGCCTGTGGGGGAGATGACAGCAGAGTTCACCTGTATGTGCAGCTCAGTGGCCAGGTAAGACTGTCAGGTGACTTTGCTTTATATTAATGCTCTTCATATTTTGTGTATCATGTGGGTGTGTTTAGTTTCAGAGGCTTCTGACTCTGACAGGACATGAGGATTGGGTCCGATGTGTGGAGTGGGCCACTAAAGGTAGGAATAAATGTGCTTAAGAAGCATTATATTTAGAGGAAGTCAAATGAAGCGTGTTTTAGGACACCATGAAAACTAAATTTGACCTTTGTAGCCTTTAGTCCTTATTGTAATTTTGGTGTCAAAGTTTTTTTTTTTAAGAAATTAATATTTTAAATGCATTTAATTGATTGAAAATATCAGTAGCAAAATTTATAATGTTACACAAATTTCTATTTGAAATCAATTCTGTTATTTTGAATTTATTAATTGAAGAATCCTGAAAAAATAAAATATGGTTTCCACAAAAATATTAAGCAGCACAACTTTTGAAATTTGAAAATTCAGCTTTGTTACCACAGGAATAAATAAATTGTAATAATTAGCAATATTACTGTTTTTACTGTATTTGTATTTAAATAAATTCAGCCTTGGTAAACGTAAGAGACTTTTTAATAAATTGGGAGATAAACACACACACATATACTGTATATATATATATATGTTTTCATGAATTTTGGCATAAGAGTTGAAGTCAAAGACCCATTTAATACATAAGATACAGTACTGGCAGTGAAATAGTCCAGGGATATAAAATGCACCATCTTAAAGAGCCAGTATTGTTGTTTTCACTCTCACATTCTTTTATAATGCATGAAACAGGCACTTGCTGCCAACTAAAGGCACTGTAACTGAAATATACAAGCGGGAAAGCCTTGCATACTACTTTTTTTTGACTGCTTGTTGGATGTGTAGATGGAGAGCTCTGGCTAGCCAGCTGTTCTCAAGACTGTCTGATCAGAGTGTGGAGACTGTTTGCCAAGACTGCCACTGAACCAGACCAACAGACTGACGCTGTTATCAAGATGAAGGAGAATGT